TCTAACAATAAAAAACGTCATTTATTGAATTTTTCTATAAAATTATACTTTTAATAGTTAAAAGAGTTGTTTTACGTTAATTTTTTAATATATTACAATACTGGAAATTTATGATAATAATATTCGAATATATGGCAGATTTGCATTATGATATTAACTTCACAAATCTAATTTAATAACAATTAATTTTTCAAAGTATCTTTCGAGAATTTCGTAAACCTATTTATTAGGATCTAGAATTTTGAATTAGTAGTAAAAAAGGTTATTATGATTGATTAGGCAAAAATTCATAAAATAGTATGCATTATTATATATAAATCATTTAGACGTAAATTATTTTAAATGAAACTGGAATAATCTGTGATGACTAAGCTAAAAATTGATCAAATAAAAATTAAAATAGGGCAAAAAAATCCACATGCATAGACATTTGAATTTTAGAATTTTTTTTGTGTGAATTTTTTAATGATGTAGTTTATATGTATATTGGTATATCCAAATAAATACTATCGTTCAAAAAAAAAACTTTGCGTTTAATTTTTTTTTTTAAGAAAATTTATTTTCTTATTTAAATTCATACTTATTCTTACCTTTTCATATCGTTATTTCATAAATTCATTTCGTTCTTTACATAAATTTATATTCTTATTATATAAATTTCTTTTTTATTTATTTATAAATTCATCAATTCTTTACATAATTGTCTATCCTTTTACCTTTATCTTTTTTAATTCGTGAATTTAATAAGATTGTAATGCAACCTCTTTTTTTAATAAATTTGACATACAACTACTTTATTATATTTTTTTTTTCAGTATCAATAGGAATAAAAGCATTTGACTTTACTATCAAATTTATCATTTTTTTTTAATTTTTTTAAATATTACCTTAAACATTCAAAAAATTTAAGATAGCTGTTTTTATCTTTATAAATGGAACCCTTTGTTAGAATTGATGAATGGGTTGAAGAGCTCGAAGAAATTGATACAGATGGAGAGTTATATTATTATAACATTATTAGAAATCTATGCAATTATTTTGACAATGAATATTATAATAAAGAAATAGAGAAAGAAATAGAAGAAGAAATAGAAGAAATAGAGATAGAAGAAACAGAAAGAAGAATACCAAGAGGAAGAACAAGAGGAATAAGAAGAGAAAGAGAAAGAAAAGAAGAAGTATCAAGAGAAAGACCAAGATAAAGACTAAGAGAAATAGGGAAAGAAAACTAAGAGAAAGAGAAAGATTAAGTAGAACAAGAGGATAAAGAGGAAGAGAAAAAGGAAGATCAAGAATAGAAAATGAAGAAGAAAATAAAGAAAAAAATAAAAATGAAATTGAAAATGAGAATAAAGTTAAAAATAATGAAGAAAATGAAAGACTTTCATTACTATTACACTTTTATAAATTTAACAATCAAAAAGCTTTACATCATGCTTTTCTCAATCTACCTTATAATATACAACAACTTGATTTTATACCAGAATATTCTATTTTTTCATTATTTTTTTCAATTGAAATTTTAAATGTCATTGTTAAAAATACAAATATATATGCATTAAATAAATATGCTGGTGAAGGCAAAATATAGGTACTATTAACTTTATTAGAGTTACGTATTTAGCTTAAATTGTTAATATATTTTGGAATTTTTAAAGCACATTCTATTAGAGATTACTGAAATAAGAATAATTAATTTTCAATACATAAAATAACAAATTATATGACTTTATTACACTTTAAATAAGTATATATTTATTAATTTAATATATATTTTTTATTTCAATTGTTTGATTATTAAATCAAAAAATTTTTATTAAATAAAATTTATTTTTATTTTAGATTAAATGATATATACAAATATCTGATATTACCCAATCTGTTAATACTAATTATTGGTTTTTAAAATTAGAACCCTTAGCAACACATATAAAAGATATTTTAAAATCTATTTATATTTCAGGTTCAAATGTTTTAATTGATAAAATAATTTCACGATTTTCTGGTCATAGTTCACATACCTTTAGAATTAAAAATAAACTAACTCCTC